AGCCGTACGTGATAACCACGCATAACGAGGAGCTGAATTTGATAAATTAAGTCGTAGATGGGTTCGGAACATTTCCTGAAAATTTCAGCCTCCCAGCTCCCCTGGTTCTGGAGTTAGCCATTTTCCCGCCAAAAACTTTCACGAGGCCGTACGCGGAAACCACGCATAACGGGGGCTGAATTTGATAGTTTTAAGTTGTAGATGGGTTGGGAACATTTCCTGAAAGTTTCAGCCTCCCAACTTTCTTGGTTCCCGAGCCAGTAATTTTCGCGCCAAGGACCTCGCGGAGGCCATACGCGGAAAACGCACACCCCTGGGGGCTGAATTTAAAATCTTTGAGTTCTATATGGACAGGGACTATAATCCCAAAATTTCAGCTTTCTAGCTTTTCTGGTTCCCAAGTTAGCGATGTTCCCGCCAAAACTTTGAGGCGCTCGTACGCGGGACCTAGACGTGCGTGAGGATTGGTACCGCGGTGCTGGGGTGGCACTTGGCTGGGGAACCAACTCGCAAAATTTTGGCGTCGGAGCTTGCTTGGGTGCCGAGTTGAAATACCCGGACACAGGCACACACCGAGGTCGTCACAATATGTGTTTTTGCATATAAGTAGAAACGCATAAAAAGTGTTTAACTTCTTTACAGTACGATCAGTACTGGTGCTGCATTTTCAGTCACCTTTCATAAGACAACACAGATTTAAAATTGCTTTTTTCCCCCGACTGCCTCTTGTCAGACGAAAAACATGATTGTTCCATGTTTATAACCCCCCTCCCCCTCCCCCTCCTTTCACCCCGCCCCCAAAAAAAGGCTTGTCACAACAATAGCAGAGAAAAGGATTTCAGTCATAGTAAAAAATATCTGCTCTCGACAACTAGCTTAAAATATCATGACGCAAATGAAAGGTCGAAATGCAAAAAACGAAAGATCCCTTAGTGACAGCATGCCGAAGAGTCGGATTTTTTTGAGGAATTGTGGCAAAGATATGAGTAAATAGAAGAAAAAAAAATTGCTGCAGAAAAAGAAGGGGGTTTCAGAAAGATGGAGATTAAAACGGCTTGAAATGGCAGTCACAGAGGAAGCAAGCTGAACTACAAGATGTAAAGCTATC